TTCTATGTACCAGCAGCAGCAGCAGGGGCAGCAGCAGCAGCAGCAGCAGCAGCAAAAGGCACGTGTGTGTGTATAGAGATAGTCTCCAGTAGCTTGCAGCATACAATTAAACCCAGCGTGGTTTAGTGGTTTACGAGTTCTCCTCTAAACCCTAAACCCTAAACCCTAAACCCTAAACCCTGCTGTTAGTGGTGTAGAGGGAAACCCTAATAAAAAAGAGAAAATATAATAACAAGAATTACAACAGATGTTTGCTGCTATCATAAACAGCTGCAGCGCAGCACAAGCAGCAGCAGCAGAGGGTTCGCTGTATGAGCTCAGGGGGGCCCTCGGGGCCCCAAACCCTAAACCCTAAACCNAGCAGCAGCAGAGGGTTCGCTGTATGAGCTCAGGGGGGCCCTCGGGGCCCCAAACCCTAAACCCTAAACCCTAAACCCTAAACCCTAGAATTCATGGGGGTAAAGGAATTAGTGCTTAAAATACGAAATGTAATGCAAATGTTTATTTATAAAAAATATATTATATCATTAAGTTTTGGTTTACCTCTTGCTTCTCTGCATTGATCGCCAACCAAACCCTAAACCCTAAACCCTAAACCCTAAACCCTAAACCCTAATATTGTGTCTGGGGGACAACCGAGCTAGCGAGAAAAAAATAGCTGGTTTCAGCTGTGAGGGTTTAGGGTTTAGGGTTTAGGGTTTAGGGTTTACCTGGAGGATGCAGAATGCCTGGTGCGCTATCCGGGGGGCCGTCAACGAAATCAATGCGGTGGGCCCATACCCTAAACCCTAAACCCTAAACCCTAAACCCTAGATCGTGAGTTCTGGTGTATGTACCCAGCAGCACCACTGGATTAGTTAGTGTGCTGAGGGTTTGGTTTTTGGGGGTTTACGGTCGAGGGTTTATCTGCAAGGGTTTAGGGCTTGAGAAGAGTTACTATTAGGGTTTAGGGTTTAGGGTTTAGGGTTTAGGGTTTGCACGTGCTTCAGGTTCTGTTGTCAGAAGATGATGATGATGAAGAAGACGAGGAGCAGCAAGAAGCAGCAGCAGCAGCAGCAGCAGCAGGGCGCCTGCCCGCAGCAAGAGATTTGCCGCTGCTGCTGCAGCAGCAGCAGCAGCAGCACGAAGCAGTAGCTCGACAGCTGGAGCTGTCAGGTATGTTTATATGCATATTCATAAGTGAGGTGTACATACACCCCAGCGGGGTGTACGTACACCTCATTCACATACACCCCAACGGGGTGTATGTACACCTCATTCACATACACCCCAACGGGGTGTACGTACACCTCACCTAGCCAGCACAAAGTATACACCTCAGTAAACATAAAAAGAATAAAAATTAGATCCATATATAGCGGAAAACATANCAGCACAAAGTATACACCTCAGTAAACATAAAAAGAATAAAAATTAGATCCATATATAGCGGAAAACATAGATTAGCTGTATGTACACCTCAAGCACGAACACAGAAATATACGTACACATTTCGGGTGTATATGCACCTCAACGCAAAGGCCCCTTAACCCCTTAAGCGCCTCCGCCTCCTCTGACGTTGCGCGAGCTGAGCCCTCCGGCTGAGGGTTTCACCGGCGCCTAGGGTTTAGAGTTTAGGGTTTAGGGTTTAGGGTTTAGGGTTTGGGGTTTACGCTGCAGAGGCCGAGACAGCCAAGTACGCCCAGCAGCTGGCTAGCCTTCGGAAGGAGTGCCGTCAGCTGCGTTCGCGCCTCTCGAGTCAGCAGCTGCAGCTGCAGCAGCAGCAGCAGCAGCAGCAGCAGCAGCAACAGGACGCCGGCGTTAGCCCAGGTGCAGCAGCAACAGCAGCAACACCTGCAGCAGCAGCAGCAGCAGCAGCAGCAGCAGCAGGTTCAAGTAGAGAAAGCAGCAACATTGGTGCTGCCCCTTTGGAGGATTTCTCTCAGCCTCTACAGCGGCTCGCGCAGGCCCTTCGAGTTCCAGCTAGCCATCC